GACAACTGGGCCCATCCAAACCCAAGTTGAAGCTTAGTGTCATGTCTGGGTCCTTGGTCCTACTATAGCCAGGGTCTGTGTTGATGTCCATAGTACCTGTTACCATTGAAGGTTATGCAGATGCCCAGGGTCTGTCCAACATCTGGAGCCATGTTGGTGTTGGAGGGCCACCCTAGAGCTGGGGACACACTGATCTGAGAGGCCTGCACTGCCACTGAGGCCATGGTGGCAGCTAAGCCTGGGCTGCCATGCCTGGGTCTGTGGTCCCACCAAAACTGGGATCTGTGTTGATGTCTATAGTCCATGGTACCACCAAAGGTCACCTGGATGTCCAAGTTCTTGACTGACACCTGTGGCCATGTTGGGGTCCTAGGGGCATGCCACTGCCAAGACTGTGCCAATCTGAGTGACCTATACTGCCACCTGAGGCCATAATGCTGTCCAAGCCCAGGCTACTGCTGAGGGCCATGTCTGGGTATGTGGTCTGCATTAATGTCTTCGTTCCCGATCTGAGAAGCCTGTTCTGCTCCCCCGGGGAAGGGGGGCATGGCAACATCTGGGCCCAAACTGTTGCTGTGGGCCATGTCTGGGTCCATGGTCCTAATGCAGCGGAGATCTGTGTTGATGTCCACTGCCCATGTAACTACAGGGGCCCATGCAAACCATGTGTTAAACCATGTATTCAATACAAGGGCCATGCTGAGCCATCCCTGCTGCTCACTGGTCCACGGAGAGCCAATGCCCCACCCCACTCCCACCGGGAGAGCTGACCCTGCCAATTGATGTAAGACAGAAGAAAACAAAATCTAGGGACTGTAATTTTCTAAACTTGGTTCTTTCTCTGAAAGAGTCAGGATTTCTGGGTTTTCTTAGGATCCCCATGACAGCACCCCCGAGCAGCAGGAAGCACTTTGGAGAGAACAACAACCACATTCCCTAATATTATTTATAAATGTTTGTTTTCATTTAATTGTGGTTTGTTATAAACGATAATGATCACAGTCAGTCTCTTTTTAAAGGAAAAAAAGGAGAATATGATATAGAAATGAATATTTTGTATTGGTATGGATTTTCATTTATTGATACAAATTTAAGGTCAATTATGTGATATGTATTTCTCTTATTTAGGTATTTTATTTATATATCTCATTTAAAATGCAATGTATAATTAAGTACAGACTATAGATAGTTACTTATAATAGTCATATAGTATGTTAGGTTTTCTAGATCTATAGAGATGTATTTCAATTGGATAGATAGATAGAAGGTCCTTTCAAAGGCCTTCGGGAAATGGCATTTGAAATGGTTTAGGTTTTTTCATGACAGTGAGACACAACTGCTCCTGGCACACCAGTTATGTCAGAGAGGAAGATGGGCATCGAAGAAACTCGTTGTGGAGTTTGCTTTCAATATGGTGAGACTAGCCCTTTGAACAAGAAACTGCTCTTGCCTGGACTGTTTGATAAACTGGACATGCAGGACCCACAGGAAGGTGACTGCTGAACTTGTAAAACAAGACAGTCCTGAAGAGTTCCTGCTTCATGGAAGAGTCTGCCAGACATCCTGCAGGACACAGAAAAATGACTGACAAACTGCCAATACAGGTAGACAGTTTAAATTTTCCTGGTTTGCAGAGAAATCTGCCAGACACACTGTGACCTCTGGGCTGAAGATGGATGTTCCAACATTACAGAGGAACTTTGGGTCACTGACTAGGCAGCAAGATGTCTCTGTCAATTCTAGAATTCATATATTATCCTTCTGTGGTCTTTGATGGATTTGAAGACAGATAGTTATGGTTATAGTTTTCCTTAGTTAGGATTAAAGACAAGTTACATATAAGACTTTAGACTAACAAAGATAGAATAGATGATAGAATATTTTCTATAAGTATTGCTAAATGTTAATGAACTATATACTATAGTTCTTACTTGATAACTGTTTTGTTATATATTTTACTATATTGAAGTTAAAACCCTTCTTTTTATTTAGACAGAAAAGAGGAGATGATGGGGAATGGTCTTCTATGTATATGTTTGTCTTATTGGTTTATGAATAAAGCACTATTGGCAAATAGGGAAGCAAGATAGGTGGGACTAGAATTCTGAGAAACAGAGGCACAGTCGGTCACCATGTAGGACTCGAGAGAAGTAAGAGGTCCGGACCCTTTCTCCAGTAAGAGAAGACCACGTGGAAATACTTAGATTAGCAGTTATGTGTTAATAATTAAGTCAGAGCTAGTCAATAAGAAACCATAGCAAACAGCCAATAACTTTATAATTAATATAGTGTCTCATGTGTTATTTGGGGGCTGAGACAGCGGCGAGACCCAGGCAGCTGGCAGGAAAGAATACACGTTACACTCAACCATATTCATTGCAGCTTTATTCATAATAGCCAGAAATTGGAGACAATCTAGATATCCCTCAAAAGAAGAATGGGTAAAGAAAATGTGGTAATGTACACAATGAGGTATTGTTCTAATGTTTTTAAAAAATGACATAATTAAATTTGCAGGCAACTGGATGGAACTAGAAAAAAATCATCCTGAGTGAGGTAACCCAGACTCAAAAGACAAATATGGTATATATTCACTTATAAGTGGATATTAGCCATTAAGTAAGTGATAACTAATCTACAATACATAGACCCAGATAGGTTAGATAAAGAAGATGTTAGGTAAAGTGAGGACACATGGATATCCCTGGAAAGAGAATAGAATGGATTTTATGGGAGGACTCTGGGCAGGTAGGAACAATAGCAGGAGGAATCAGGTTGGGTATAGATGGGATGAAGAGAGAGAGTACATGGAAAGACAGCTGGAATTGGTAGACATTTGGGGATGGTGTGGAAACGTAGTGCAGTCATCATCAGAGAAACTTCCTCTGGCAGAAGATGGGAACAGATGCAGAGACCCACAGATAGATATTATGCAGACAGAGTCTAAATTGGAGGAGGTCTCCATCAAATCTGTGCCCTCAGAGCTCAGGGAATTCTGCAGAAGAGGAGATGGAAAGATTGAAAGAGTCAGAGGGGGTGGAGGACACCAGAGAACACAGTCCTCTGAGTTAACTAAGCAAGGCATGTAAGAGCTCACAGAGACTGAAGCAGCAAGCACAGGGCAGCCATGAGTTTACACCAGATCCTCTGTGTATATATCATAGCTATTAGCTTATTACTTCTATGGGACTCCTGACTATGTAAACAAGTAGATCTCTGACTCTTGTGCCTGCTCTTGAGACTCTTCCTCTTGTTAGGTTCCCTCATCCAACTTCCATATGAAAGTTTTTGCTTCTTCTTACTATATTTTCTTTTATTATGATTGGTTGTTACCTCTTATAAGACTATTCTTTTCTAATGTGAGACAGAAAGGAAGTGGATCTGGAGGGGAGAGGGGGCACTGGTAGGAGGAGGGAGGGAGGATATATTGTATGAGAAAAGAATCTAATTTCAATTTTAAAAATAAAAAATTATAAACATACAATAGGAGAATAAAACAAAGGACAGTGCAAATATCCTGGAAATGTTTCCATCCAGAGGAAACAACTACAGTAACAGAAAATGTGAAGTGGCCTACTCATATATTCACTTGCAATGAATGCTTACATTTGAGAAAAGATGATCAGAAACCATTTTCTCTGAGCGAAGGAAATAAAAACAGAAGAGTGCTAGTGCATACTAATAGTTAGTAAGTAATAATGCATTCATTAACTGTCAACTTCAGGCCTGGGGACCAGAAAGAAAATGGAGGACTCTGTCTTGAAGATAAATATTATCAGAGAAGATAGGGAAATGAGGCAAGTCTTGCTATGTGCAGCAATTTTACAAGTCACAAGAATCCATGATCTGCACCTCTACACACTAGTAATGTTTCAAATAATCACCCCTACAACTTGTCAAAATGCCCCTGTGAAGACACCTGACTTTACCATCTTTTCCTAGGCTTGCCCTCTAGAATTCTGATCAACATCCACAGTCACCTAGGAATTCAGAGGATGGAGAGATGGCTCAGAGTTGACTGCTTGCTGCTCATCCAGACGAACCAAGTTCGATTCTGATCACCCAAGTCAGATGGTTCACAATTGCCTTTCATTCCAGCTCCCAGGGATCCAATACCCTCTTCTGGCCTACACACACACACACACACACACACAAATCATTTTTAACATTATCATTTGAGGGATGATAGCAGCTGTTATATAGCAAGTTATATAGTAAATATAAACTGAAAAGATAGCACATTGTAGAAGAAATTTTCAACTAAAAAATCACACGTTTATATATCCTAATTCAAAAAAGAAAAGTACAAGTTTTCATCACCATTAAATACTGTACAACTTGGGCCTTTTGGGCTAAATTTATGGGAAGTGTAGAATGTTAAAATCAGTTCTTCTATAGGAAAAATCTTATGATGGGAAATAAATTCACCTACTATTATACAGCATCCTCTAAGTAAAAGATTTACAACTGTCATCATACGGAATCCTTACTATAGCCTATATAATGTAGGCTATGTGACCAATAACCTCTTACATACAAGGAACCCAACACAATGTTATTAGAAACCTTGCCCATGTCAACAGTCAGTTTGTTGCCAACTTCCAGGCTGTTATCTAAATCTGACTTCCAAACAAATAGTGACACCAACTAGCACAATATCACTAAGAAAGCAGCATATGTGGTACACGCGTGTGTACATGCTGTGTGTAGGTGCATGTACCCATCTGTGTGCAGAGAACAGAGTGGATATTGTGAGTCCTCCTCTATAATTCTTTACCTTATTCCCTTGCGAAGATTTCTCACCAGACCTGGAAACCACTGTTATCTGGCTAGGCACACAGCCAGCAAGCCCATGGTCCTTCTATTTCTGTCCCCTTCCCGGAGGGTCTGACCTCAGGTCCTCAAGATTGTGCAGCAAGCACTCTTACCCACTAAGCCACTCTCTTAGTTCCCAAGATAAAATTATTCATGCCCCACCTATATGCCATCTCTGAACTTACATTTTCAAACGTTGTCCTCATGACCCAGAAAGAGGGAAGTGATGGCATTGCTGTGTCACAGTTGAACAACGAAGACTGGTGAGCCTAAGGTGAGATCTAAAGTCATGGCATGTACTTTTACTGTATTTTTATATTTAACAAGATTCTCTAGAGAATACAGAGTAGATAGGAAATACAGACATACATTAAGAAGGAGGATTTAACCCAAGAATTGCTTCATACCAGTCCTGCTATTACCTTTCAAAGCAAAAGTGAAGACACAGCTAGAAATGCTCAATTTCTTACCTAAACCTATAAGTTAGGAACAATGCTATAGTTGTTACTTAGAGAGGCTGTTCCCTTTTCTAAGACAAACAGTTTTATTATTCTCAAATAAAAAGATCACTGTCTACACAAGACCATCATTTAAACTGGCTTTTGGCTCAGCGCATGACAGCGAGTTGTTGGCTCACCTTTGGATAATATCCTGCTGTTAAATGGTAAAGGATGGGACAAGGTTCTCAAGAGGTGCCTGGAAGGGTGACTGTTTCCTTTGTCAGGAACTAGGTGACCTTGATTTTCTTGTCCTCCTCTTGCAACTGGGACAACCTGATTTTTTGGTGCCCTTCCAAATGTTGAAGTTGTTTGGCATTAATGACACTCCTGTCTCAGTAGACCCTGTAGTTGATACAACAATGTCCTTTGTTGCATGTTTTCCCATCCAAAGCCATGTCACATGAAAGTTAACCAGGATGTAACTCTCCGACACCACATGTAAGAAGGTAAATGTGTGCAACTGCCAGAGGGAAATGCTTAGTAGTGTTTGTGCCTCTCGCCCAGCATTTTTCTCAAGAAAAAACATGAACTTTTTTATAAGATGTTACTAGAACCCCACTGTAGTAGCCCAACACTGGAATAGCCAAAATGTTCATCAACTGTAGAATATAATGAAAAAAACACTACCATCATTCTCATCAATGTAGATAACTATCACATACACAATTGTCAGGTCACTCACTTTCTAGACACATACAAGCTTCAGGTTTTATTTCCAGTGAGATGCAAGTATTCATTCTGATCACCCCGCTGTGATGACTTCACTTTATTCTTTCTCTACCTCAGAAAAGCCATGGCCTTCCAGAGGAGAGGTCTCCCAAGTTACTCTTGATAACTATGACTCTTTGAAGTCAAGTGAGCTCAACTATATTAGCAATGCAGTGCTTGCTGTGTATGGGACCATGGTCTTGGGTTTCTCCTCTAAAAGAAAAGGAGACCACTGAGTGTGGTGGCACACATCTGTAAGCCCAGCACTTAGCAGATGAAGGTAAGATGATCAGAAGTTCAAGGCCATCTACAACTACACAGTGAGTTTGAGGCCTGCCTTGGCTACATGAGGCCCTGTCTTAAAAAGCTAGTTCATTTTTAATTATCCAACCAAAAAAAGAAAACTTGTATACTGTAAATTAATCAAGAAGATTCTATCCCTGAAGATCATGGGAAGCATTTAGCAAAGCACCTATGACTACCTATTATAATGTGACTCCTGGGTCTAAACACCTGCTCCCCAGATGGTACTGTTGTTTCAGGGAGGCTGTGGAACCCTGAGGAGTAGGATCTTGCTAGAGGGAGGTGAGGCGGGTCTCTGTGGGGCCTGGCCTGGCTTCCCGGCTTGGTGATGTGAGCTCACAGTTTCAAGTTCCTGCCATCATGGCTGCAAGCTGCTCTTGCTGCTTTGTCGTCTCCACCATAAAACTGGGAACCAAAGTTAACCCTTTCTGCTTGAAGTCGCTTCTATAAGGTATTTTGACACAATGGTAAATAATAGCTGCCCACCACCAACAATAATTAGTTTTATCACTTATTCTCACCCATGTCCAGCTTGCAATTCCCACTTCCTACTCACTAATCCATAAACTCGAAGAAGCAAACCTTGGGAAAACCTGGTATGTTCCCATTTTTATGTCCATATGATTTGTACCAAATATTTCACAGGGGGCTCAGGGTCAAGTGTCTCCAAGTTCTTGGCCTCTTACACAAAGAATTGAAACTAAAGGCTCACACATATTTGTAGAAATAACAAGCTAGCTTTATTCAGAATGAAAGGATAGTACAGACTAAAGGAGGGATCTTGTATCAAGATTCATCGACAGCAGATCATATGAATAGGGGTAGTCAAGAGCCCCAGTTAATACTTGGGGCTTACTTTTATAGAGTTCAAGAGGATTCTGGTTGCTTGTTCACTATACCAGTCCAAATTAAATACAAATATATATTACTTATCTCTGAATACTGATTTTATCATATTGTCCCTTCAGCCCTCATATAGAACCCAGGACTTTACATGCTGTGAAATGCCCATCTCTGCTGAGACAATGTTAATTGGGAAGTATGGGAAGAGATGGTAAAATGCTGTCAGGTGGTAACATCTACCTGCTAGAATGACAGACATTTCAATAAGTTATCCACACTTTTGCAACTGTTGTCATACATGACCAACTAACTCAAGAGAAAAGATAACATCCTTTTGACAAATTACAAGAGCAAAGAACCATTAGGGTAATGATCCTATAACAAATCCTAGAATTAAGTGGCTATCTTGACTTAATTTTACACGTTCCAGAGTATATATTCTCTCTTTGCAAAAAATAAAATTACTATTGCTCGGATTTTACTAGTCCATGAACTCTGTAGAAGAAAGCTCTCGATTTGACTTATAATGGCAACTGGCCACTTTTTCCATAGACATAAAAGAAATTCAATTTCTCTGGATGCCTTTCTCCTCAGCTACCAATGTGCTCCAGGGACTAGTTAACTCCTAAAGGAAGACCATTTTTAAAAATGAACCATAATTCCAGAGAAAACAAAACCCAGCTAGTTAAACTATCACCAATAAGAAGCATAAACAGGACCATTTCAACTTTCAACTGCTTGGAATAAAAAGCTCTATTTGAAAAAGCTTCAAAACAAGAATTTACTGTTTCCCAGACATCTGCAATTGAAACACACACACACACACACACACACACACACACACACACACACACACACACACACAGAGTTCTGGAAAGTGCTGTGGTTTACCTCATCCTGAGTGATTTCCAGGGGACTATCAGGGCAGAACAAAAAATGAGTGTGCACCAAAAGTTTTTCAGAGTCCCATTTATACGCACTTCTCTCTGGCTTGCTGGCGATTCTTCACATGTAAGGCTTGCATGTGCTATTCAGTGTAGTCTGTTTGAGGACAGCGTTATCCTGAGACAGTTTTATGCAAATTTCCATCTAACAGACTCCATGGGTATCAATTTCTAGATCAGAGATCTTTGGCTTATTATAATTTATCATTGCCGCTGGGCCTGGTGCAGCAGGCGGATTAAGAACTTTAGACGGTGAGTGGCACGGCCTTAGAGTCAGAATGCCAGCCAGCTGTACTTGAGCCTCAGAGCGTGGAGCAAGCAGTAAAAAGAAGAGTGAGGGGACCGTTGCCAGCGTCTTGCAGCGTGGAGCCAGAACTGTGAGAGCAGTGCCAATCATTTTCACCCAACCAGTCCTGAGGTTGGCATCAGACATCAGTGGGTCTCCAATCACCTGCCTGCCTGACAGGGTGGCTCAAAGAATGCCAGAGTCTAAGAGAAAGAGGCAGGGGAAAGAGATGGTGATCAAAGGGTCCTTGCTCGTGTTAAACGGGCTGCAGTTTTGACCAACACGGTGGACTTCAGAAAGTCACACAGAGTTACTAATTCTCAAGCACAAGAAAATGACTTTCAGCCCAGGCTGTGTGGCTCTTGGAGGTACCTGATTAAACCTTAAAGCTAAAAGGAAATGGTATTGACTAAAAATATACTTCTGTTCACTCTACATTTCTATCATATCTAAGCGTCTTCTGTCTTGCTATGCTTGGTTTTTTTGTTTCTTACTAAATCTATTTATTATTTGTCAATTCCATACATGCACACAGTGAAATAGGGTCAGATCCATTCTCATTTGTGTCTACAATTTCCCCTAGGTCTCTGCCTACATGCCCACCTTCCACCTTCCCAACTTCATGTCTTCTTTTATTTTTTCTAATAACCCATTAAGTCCAGTTAGTGCTATGTATATCAGTCTTGTACTGGAGCATGGGCAGCCTACCAGGGACCACATCCCTAAAGAAGGATACCCCCCCCAAGCAGCTATCAACTGACAACAGCTCCTCAGCTAGGAGTGGTGACTGGTGAGTGCCACTCCCACCTCTGATGGCATTTTGTCTGAATTGGTCTTATACAAGTGATACATAGGTAGCCACAGATGATAGGAGTTCATGGGTACAACAGCCATGTCATGCCCAGAGGACAGCATTCCAAAGCACACTTCATCATACTCCAGCTGTTACACTCTTTCCAGCCCCTCTTTCATTATATTCACTGAACAACTGGTATGCATTACATTTTCCTCTGTGCTAGCTTCTTTACTCTTGAAAATAGCCCACAAAATAAAAAAAGTCAACTGTAAAGCAGAAAGAAGGTTAAATAGTAGTTTAGTTCCTATCATCTATGACCAAAGGAAACAAAACTATAAACTAGTGAATTACAACACTAGAGAGTAACTGTGTGAGCTAGAAACAATTAGAAAATTGCTATGAGTGAATGCCTCAGTGTCAGAACAGCCGGAAAGCTCTAGGGTAGGATATGGATTCATGCTACAGGGCCTTAATTTCCCCCTGTTCAGTGAGGCTTGGGTAGAATGAGCTGTAGGCAAGTTCCAACTCAGAAAGGATTCATCCCAAGGCCTTCTATTGAGTTCAGCAAGAGGGTGCAGAACTAGACAGGGAAAGCATCTTGAAAGTAAAGACTTTTCAACCTGTTCCCTTACACTCCACAAATTTCATTACATAAATTCAATAAAACCCCCTATACCCACGTGAAGGCCAAATCCAATTACGGCAGTTCAGCTCAGGTCTTACCTTATTTGACTCCTGCTGCCTTTGCATAGCTGGATAATCTGACTTTCTTCCAGCTTTCTTTCTCCTTGATGACTTGACCCTCTCCTGGCCTTCTTCTGGATCTCTAGCTTCTCTCCCAGCTACTCACACCTAACACTGACATCCTCAAGCCTTTCCTAACCTTGGGCCCCTCCCTGGATTTGCTCTTACTCTTGCACATGTTCTGATTACATCATCCATACCTTGTAGAGTGTAGCCTTCCCCGCCATCCGCCTGGGCCTTGCCACAGTTGCAGTCCCCAAATAACTCACAGGACACTATATTAATTATGAAGCTGTTGGCCATTTGCTTGTCTCTTACTGGCTAGCTCTGACTTAAGTATTTAACCCATAATTGTTAATCTAAGTATTTCTCTTACAGAAGAAAGTGGTCAAGACCTCTTACTCCTGTGGCGGGCTACATTGTTGTCTCTCTGTGTCTCTCTTTCCCAGAATCCCGACTCCTAGTCCCACCTATCTTGCTTCCCTATTGGCCAACAGTGCTTTATTGACATATACACAGGACTTCCCCATCAATACCTATCCCTTCAAATAATACCAGCACAAAGCTTCCATTCATTCTAACAAAGGGTCCTCCCGAGTTCCAGATGCAGACACCTACAAGATAATATGCTCCCAATCGATACAACTGCAAACATGTTCAAAACTGACATCATTGAAGGCAAGAGATGTATAGCTTAGTGTCAAGCAAGTGATTGTCAAGCATATAGGAGGCCCTGCATTTGATCCCCAGCACCATGTAAACCAGGCATCTATAATTGCAGTGCTCAGAGGGCAGAGGCAAAAGAAGTTTATAGTCATCCTCAACCATGTAGCAAGTCTGCAGCCAGCCTCAGATACATGAAAGCCTCAAAAAAAGACCTCATTAGCTTCCCTTCCGTAGCTCTGTCCTTCCCAAGTTCAATAATGGATGCCATAGTCTATTAAGGCATCAAGAAGTCATCAAACTCTCTCCTTCAAATAACTGACCTTCGGATCATTTCATTTCAACTTTAACATCTTACAACACCTCTTCTTCAACTCTAAGCACCAGCCTTGCTTCTGATAACCCTATCTCTCTCCCTGTCTAAGTCACTGTTCTATTGCTGTAAAGAGACATCATGACCAGGGCAACTCTTACAAAAGAAGTCATCTAATTGTGGGCTTGCTTACAGTTTCAGAGGCTTAGTCTATTATCATCATGAGAAGGAGTATGGTGCCAGCAGGCAGGGGCTGGAGCAGTAGCTGAGAGTTACATCCTGATCCACAGGCAGAGAGAGAGAGAAAAGCTGGGTCTGGCATGGGATTTTGAACCTTGAAGTCCACCCCCCAGTGACACACTTCCTCCAACAAGGCCACACTTACTAATCTTTCTAATCCTATGGAAGATTTCCACTCTGTTTTAATTAAGGTTACTATTGATAATATGAAACACCATGACTCAAAAGCAAGTTGGAGAGTAGAAGGTTTATTTGGCTTACATTTCCACGTTGATGCTCATCACTGAAGAAAGTCAAGACAGGAACCTGGAGGCAGGAGCTGATGCACAGACCATGGGGGGATGCTGTTCACTGGCTTGCTCTTGATGGCTCCCTCAGCCTGCTTTCTTATAGAGCCCAGGCCCACCAACCCCAGGGATGGCCCCACCCACAATAGGCTGGGCCCTCCCCCATCAGTTACCAATTAAGACAATGCCCTATAGGTCTGCCTACAACCCGACCCCATGGAGGCATTCTCTCAGTCAAGGCTCCCTCCTCTCAGATGACTCCAGCTTGTGTCAAGCTGGCACAAAACTGTCCAGCAAAATTGAGCCTTCGTCAGCTTGGCACAGAAGTGCACCACTGTTCAACCACAACTTGTCCTTTCTCATTCATCTCCAAGATCTTTTAATTTATGTTAAAATATAAATAACTTTAAAAATCTCACAGCCTTTACAAATCCAAACACTTCAAATTTCAGCCTTAAAGAAAACAGTCGGTCTCTTTTAAAATCTAAAGTCTTAAAATGCAAAGCCTCTCTACTGTGGGTTCCTATAAAATCAAAAATAAATTAAATACTTTAAGAGGGAAGTACCAGAGCACAGTCACAATCAAATTAAAGCAAGACCAAATTCCAAAACTGTAAGTAGCTCAGTCCAATGTCTGGGCTTCATTCACGGTCTTGTGGGCTCCTCCCAGGGCTTAGGTGACTTCTCCAGCTCTGCCGTCTGCAGTGCACACAGCTTGTCTCTGGGCTCCCACTGGCTCCACTCCACTGCTCCTGCTCTTCTTGGTGCTCATCCCACAGTACTGGTGTCTCCAAAATGCTGGGGTCTTCTGCGGCAACTGGGCTGCGCTTCACCAATAGCCTTTCATAGGCTTCCTTCGTCGTGTCAAGCATGGGTTCTTCAGTCCTGGGCCTCCAACTGTCACTGAGGCTGCACCTTCTGTTGGGGCCTCTCACAGTGCCAAGCCTCAGCTGCTCTCCATGACCCCTTCATGACTTCAGAACAAGTAACACCTGGGTGACTCTTACACTAGCTAAAGTTCAGCTGTCAGCACAGGCGCAACCTTGGCCACCTCTGGAACACGGCTTCTATGTACTGACGCTCAGGAAACACTTCCCAGAATTTCAGTTCAACAATGCTGGTATCCTGGTTTTGTTTGTTTGTTTGTTTTTACATCCCAACCACAGTTTCCCGTCCCTCCTCTCCTCCCAGTTCCTCCCCACCACCTTCTCAGTCCCATCCAGTCCACTCCTCCATTTCTCTTCAGAAAAGGGCAGGCCTCTCTCAACCAGCCATGGCATATAAAGTTGCAGTAAAACTAGGCACCTCCTCTCCTATTAAGGCTGGGAAAGGCCACCGGGAAGAAGGGACCCCAAAAGCAGGCAGCAGAGTCAGAGACAGCCTCTGCTTCCACTATTAGAAGTCCCACAAGAAGACCAAGTTAAATAGCTGTAACTTGTAGAGGGACGAGGTTGGTCCCATGTAGTCAGTTCAGTCTCTGTGATCTCCTTTGAGCCCAGGTTAGTTGATTCTGTGTGTTTTCTTGTGACTCCCTCAATCCTTCTTCCCACTCTTCCATAGGATTCCCCAAGCTCCACCTAATGTTTGGGTGTGGGACTCTGCATCTGTTTCCATCAATTGCTGGATGAAGCCTCTGATGACGACTGGGCTAGGCACGGATCTACGATGTATAGCAGAATATTATTGGGAACATCTTATTGGCACTTTCCTTTTTTTTTTCTTTTTCTTGCTATTCATGTCTGGTTCTATCTCTGCATTATCCCGCCTCAGGGTCCTGGCCTCCAGGCAGTATCAGGAGTGGACTCCCTCTTATGGTATGTGTCTCAAGATAGACCAGTCATTGGTTGGCCACTCTCACAATTTTTGTGTCACCTGTACCCCAGCCCATCTTGTAGGCAGGACAAACCGTAGGTCAAAGGTTTGTGGCTGGGTTGGTGTCCCAGTCTGTCCACTGGAAGACTTACCTGGTTACAGGTCATGGCCAGTTCAGGCTCCATATTCCCCATTGCTAGGAATCTTATCTAGGGTCACCCTCATAGAATCCTAGGGATTTCCATTGTACTAGGTTCTTAGCTCATCCCAGAGATGCAACCCCTATTCCAGTTGCTCTCCCAGTACTCTCTCCCTCCATCCTCCCTCCGATCTGATCCCTCCTGTTCCCATGCCCATCCCCCCATGCAGGCTCCCCTATCCAGCTGTGATGTCTACTCTATTTCCCCTTCACGGTGAGGTTTATGCACTACCACCCCGCCTTGAGCACTCCTTGTTACTTAGCTTCTTTGGATCTGTGGATTGTAGCATGGTTATCCTTTACAGCTAATACCATGTTTGTTTTTCTGGGCCTGGGTTACCTCATTTGGGATCACTAATCTCTCAGCTCCAGCCAAATAGCACCGTGTATCCCAATATACCAGCAAAGCAAAAGTTTCACTTCAGTAGTGCTGGTCTCTCATTAATCAGCTGATTCTTCAGCCCCAGCTGACCATGACCACAGAATCTTAATTCAAAATAAGAAATAGTCCTAACAGAGTTTTTAAACTTCCCTCTGAAAGTTCACAAATCAGACTTCCATCTTCTACATTGTCCTCAACATTTCTTCTCTTCCAAGTTCCTACTGAGCAGGTCACTAAGCATTGACACCTAACGGCTTTTCTTGCAGAAAGCTCCAAAGTCCTTCCACACTCCTCTTTTGAACAACAAAGTCAGGTCCATCATATCAATATCCCACTCCTGGTATCAACTTGTCTTAGTTAGGGTTACTATTCCTATCATAAAACACCATGAACAAAAAAGCAAGTTGGAGGGTAAAACTTGGCTTACATATCCACATTGCTCTTCATCACTGAAGTAAGTCAGGACAGGAACCCAAATGGGCAGGAGCCTGCAGACAGGAGCTAATGCAGAGACAATGAAGGGGAGCTTCTTACTGGCTTGCTCCCCATGGCGTTCTCAGCCTGCTTTCTTATAGAACCCAGGTCCACCAACCCCAGGGATGGCCCCACCTACAAGACCATGGGAGACCTCACCCTCCCTGGGAGGTAGATAGGAGTGAGGTGGAGAGTTGGTGGGGGGCATTGGAGGATGGGGGGAACTGGGGTTGGTATGTAAAATAAGATGTTTTTAATTTAAATTTTAAATAAAAGAAAAAATTCCCTCCCCAAAGTTAAAAACTGTCATGTTGGAGACACTAACATATCATTTCCCCTCCCTAGGTCTTTAGTAATGATTATAATGGTTAACATTTGATGAGCAATTATTATTGCCAATTACTGTTCCCAGTTCTGTTAGCTCACTCAACTGTTGAAACAACCCTGAATTATAGAGACATTATTATCCTAGTTTTGCAGTTGAAGAAACAAAAAGTTTAAGCAATTTGTCTACAAATCACACAGCTAAGGGATGACGTGACAACTCTATTAGATCAAATTGGTTCAAGATCTTTTTTCCTATCATCTTTTGCCTCTCCTATAAATAGTCCACATCCCCTTCCATCATCATGACTTCCTTTCAGATCTTCAGGAAATCTCATTTCAAATAGTTGAATATCAAACAGGATTGTGTCAGTCGCACTATGAAATATTCATTCCACTCGAAGGACCACACCTGAAGGGGCTGAGAACAGGACAAGACAAAGAGCAAAGATCTAGTCAGTGCCTTTGTTTTTTAATGATTTCTTAATAATTTATTTAATTTTATGTCATGAGCATTGGTGTGAGAGTGTCAGATCACTGGAACTGGAGTTACAGACAGTTGTGAGCTGCCATGTGGATGCTGGGAATTGAACCCAGGTCCTCTGGAAGAGCAGCCAGTGCTTTTAACCACGGAGTCATCTCTCCATCCCCTAATATGTTTACCATCTCTTCAAAGATCTCCTTTATAAATTTATCTTATCTTATGATGTTTAATTGAAGTGGGGCTTTGGTGGTGCACACCTTTAATCCCAGCACACAGGAGGCAGAGGCAGATGGACTTCTGTGAGTTCAAGGCCAGCCTGGTCTACAGAGGAAACTCCAGGACAACCTCCAAAACAATACAGAGAAACCCTGTCTCAAAAAACAAAAAAAAAAGTTTAATTGTCCTAAGAAGAGACTTTCTTTTCAGTTCACAGGGATGGGATGGAGTACGGATCCTTACCCTGTATCAGTGGGTCCTACCCCTACCCTCTCCAGGGTTGAAGAGTATTGGGGTATGTCAACTGAACATCATTGCTTGACCCTTGTGGTTTAAACATGAAATGCTTCTCACCGGTTCGTGTGTGTGAGCACTTGGTGTTCAGCTGGTGGTGTTTTGAGAGGCAGTGGGACTTTGAAAAGCAAGCAGCTGGCAGAGGGTCCCAGGGGTGAACCTTTGAGAATGGTAGCCTAGCCCACATCTAGCCCAGGCGTTCTCTGCTTCCTTCCTGCAACCACAACATAACCACTCGCCTCACAGCTCTGCTGCCATGGCAGGAGTCAAACTGTCACCCTGACTTCCCCACACCTCCACTTGTTGCTTGTCTTGGCTGTTCTACCACAAGCAAGGTAACTAGTATAGACCATCCTAAGAGATTCCTCAAATGAGACATGGCTAGTTTGGTAAATCATTTAACTCTCCAATGATATCATTTTCTTCTCACACAGAGAAAGCCTTTGACTCAACACTAGTAACAATGGGAATGTGAACTACCATGCCCAGTTTTGTGTTGCCTTTCTATTGCTGCAACAATAAATTTTAAAAACCTTATAAGAAGGTCAAGCATGGTAGCATACACCTTTAATCTCAGCGTTTAGGAAGCAGAAGCAGGCAGATCGATGAGTTCAAGGTCAATTTATTCTTCACAGTGAGTTCCAGACCAGCCAAGGCTACATAGTGAGACCTGTCTCAAAACACAAACAAGAAAAGAAAAACACCATAAAAGAGGGAATATTTATTATGGTCACTCCGAATTTTAGAAGTGTAGTCCACAGATGTTTGACTTTATTGTTTCTGAGCCTGTGGAAATGGCAGAGGGCACAGTCAAAGACAGCAATTCACCTGATGTAACTGGGAAGTAGAAAGGGAGATCAGGAGATAAAAAGGAGGCTGAGAAAAAGTTGCACTCCCCCAATGTTGAAGTTGGAACTCTCATGATCCAGTCATTTCCCCCAAAAACCCACCTCTTAACATTGCTGAATTAGAAACCATGTCCTCAATACATAAGCCTTTGTGGATATGACAGAACTAAACCACAACACTATATAACACTGTTTTAAGGTAAGCCCACTAGTGATGGCGGAAGTCCTTCTGTGTATATGCTGTCCTATTGGATGACAAATAGAGCACTGTTGGACAATAGGGAAGCAAGACAAGTGGGACTAGGAGTCAAGGGGGATTCTGGGAAATGTAGTCAAGGGCAGAGAGTCATCATGTGATCCCGGGAAGAAAGGATGCATGAGGCTGCATCCTCTGTAAGATAAGACTTTTAAAAATATATATTAATAATTTTGGGTTAATAATTAAGTCAGAGCTAGCCACTAATAAACCATAGCAAACGGCCAACAGCTCCATAATTAATATAATGTCTCGTGTGTTATTTGGGGGCAGAGACAGCAGCAGGACCCAGGCAGCTGGTGGGAAAGAATACATGGTACACACTAGAGACCACCATACCGACACTCTTAATGCTGAAAAGAAAGTATTCCTTGCTGGGCAGTGGCTGCAGGGGAATCGCCAAAATCATGCAGCACTGAGACTTACAGCCCTTTGTCTTTTGTGCACAAAAACCACATCATGGTTGTCACACTTCAGTTTGCAAGAAGCAGAACTACAGAAGCCAAAAGGCAAGGTTTGTACATCTAGGGACCTTCCTGAAACTATGGACTACATCTGTAATGGATTAGGTCTTTGTTCCTGTTTTGTCAGGTGTTGGGGCTTGCATGCTGGGTTTTACATTCAGAATGGCTTCTAACATGGCATAAGTTTTGCTGAGGTCTGGGGGCCTGTTACAACAAAACACCTGATGCCGCATTACTTTATAAATAGTTTTATTTAGCTCACAGTCTTAGAGGTTAAAACTCCAAACCAGCTGACCTCATTGGTTCAGTCACTGATGAATACCTAATGGTGAATGGCACTGTCTCAGATAGGGTTTCTACTGCTGCAATGAAACACCATG